TAGAATTTTTGGTGCTGTCAACGTGCCTCTACTTTAATGTGGGAATACAGTTTTATCCACAAAATAAGATTTTTTTTTCTTTTCATGCCCAGAAGCAATCCTTTCCTTTTAAAACATAAGAAAACATGAGCCCTGATAGTGGAAGCCAGTACTACTTGTAGATGATCGCTGTACATTTTCCAACCAGGAGACCAGAAATGAATGTGCTCTGGTCTGTTAATTTAAGACAATCTGTATTATACTTTTGATTTGCAAGCTATTAAAACTAATATGATTTCACTGGGTTCTTTTCATTTATACAACAGAACTGATTTTTTAATGACACACAAATGGGAAAGGAATTTAAAAAAAAAATCTTTATTCGAATCTCTGAAATACAGACAGGAAAACTGATGTCCTGATGACCTACCAAATAATCATACAATGAGCTCTATTTCTATATTAAAAAATAAAATTCAAATAACACAGCTAAAAAAACACGTATCATTATACAGAGCCTTTCACCACTGGGTCTTCAGTTCAAACCTTGCCCAAGTCATAAGGACAAAAGTACAGGGTCTATGTGAAAAGAGCTGGTGGACTGAATCCAGTTCTTAGCGGAGGGGTATCCCTGTTTCAAACTGTCATCATGTTTGGCACAGATTCATTGCTCCTTTGTTAGCAGGCCCTGCTGAGAAGCTAAGGATATAAACACTAAACCACCCTTTCTCTCCATGCTCCTATTGATGTTTCACAACCCTGACTTGGAGGAAAGTTTTCACTCCCCATGTACTGCCAGTGAAAGATTTTCTTCATCAGTCTTCTGGCATTTGATTTAGTGGGTCTAGTAAGGACCCGTTAAGGCAAATACTGAGGGTGCCTTCTCTGGTCGGTGCTAGTACTCCTTGATTATTTACCTAGCTGGAGTTGCATACCTTAAGCTGGCCTTCCAGGTCTAGACCTGTACTCAGTAACTGTGAGCTTGAAAACTTTAAGCATTAAACTCACACATTGAAGAAGAAAAATGACCTGTAGTGTAGGTCCTTAATTTTGTAGACAAGAAATAACAAGTATAAACTTCACAGTAAAGTCATGTGCCCATGTAAAAATAATAAGAAATTTACAGGAATTTAATTTTATCTCTTTGATATAACTCCTCTAATTGTGGTTCATGTGGGCCACAAAGAGAATAGATGTCTACTTTTGTCATCAACCTGCTGTTCATTAACACTAGAAGTGATCAGAATATTTAGTTGCAATGATTTTCTGAGGAAAAAAATCCTTTTTGTTGAACTGAAATTTTCCCCTGGAAAACTTCAGTTTTGTTGAGAACTGGGGACCCCACATGGTGGCCCAACCAGAAGGACCTGGGCCAAAGCGGGCAGTGTTGGGCCGAAGTAGCCCCGAACAGCCAGCACCTGCAGCAGCCCCCACCTCGGCCAGTGGATAACCAGTTAAATAAATTATTTTGGGTGTTTTCTACATCCTTAGTTGGGAAAATAAAAGTGAAACTGACAAAACTTTTGGAGAGAATACTGATTGAGTTCTCTCTCTCCTTGGCGTTCTGCCCCCACCTCAACCAGCTTCAGCCCGAGAGACTTGGAATACAAAACTCTCTGCCTCTGAAGTTCCTAGGGCTGAGGGAGATGTGGAAAAACTAGGAATTGAGCTCTCTGCCTCTTGACCTGGAGCCAAGGGGAAGGCTGAGCACTCTAGCTCATTACCTTTCCAGCAGTAGGATTGAAAATCTCTTCTTAATTTTACTTTCTGCCTGCCATGAAATTGACATCAGCCATCCAGGTGAGCAACGTAAAAGCCAAAAGCTTGTTTCTCTTCTCCCAAACTGGAATTTTCCTGAAATCCCTTCCCATTAACATTTTTGTATTTTTGATTAATCCAGGCAAAAATTTTCTGAAAAATATTATTTTTTTTGTGGGGAATGATTTTTATGTTCCAGCCAATTATCCAACTGTTAACTTCATAAGCTCCCGTGACTTCAGACCAACTGCTTTACATTTTTAAAGAAAAAAACCATAATTCTGTCAAATGGATTAGAGAATGATCAAATTATTTTTTTTATTAAACCTTTAAAATAAGGTATTTCAGATTATTTTAAAAGTAAAAGCAGGGAACGATAGAGAGATGATGAGCCCCATCATTCCTCGCCCTGCCAGTAAAGTTACATGAGTCTTGTTTGTTTTACCAAGAAACATAGAACTCATGAATTATCATCGGGTCACACTAAAACAGTAATCTAAGGCCAGGTCTACACTAAGGGAGACAGCTGACCTAAGATATGCAACTTCAGCTTCACGAATAGCGTAGCTGGAGTTGATGTACCTTAGGTAGAGTTTTCGTGGTGTCCCCACTGCTGGAGGTTGATGGGAGAAGCTTGCCCAAGGACACATAGGAAGCTTTTGGCAGAGCAGGGAGCTCTCCTGGGACCCAAAAACTAACATCCTAACTACCATGCTTCATTTTTCTGAAATGCCACGTGGTTCCTATTTATATACAGAAAATGTATAGTCGTGTATCTGCATCTCTGAATCCTGAATATGGGCTAACGTATCAAGATTCCTAAGGAGGAAAAAGAGAGGCCCACTTAAGGTTCGGCTAAATATCTGGGCCTGGTTACATACCGTATGTAAGGCTTTCTGATCTAGCTATTTAAAAAATGACATTTTTATGTTTGTGAAAAAATTTCATGAATTTTCAAATACTGTGCCATTTTGCTGTTATGAGTTCTTAATGTAGGAAACACATAGCTGAGTAGAATAATATCCTCAATATGACTGAAGCTTTTCTTTAAGCACAAAAGAGGAAACTTTTTTTTAGCTCATCATTTTAAAATGGTTAAGTCGATCATTTTGAAAGGTGTGAGATAAAACTCACTTTTTAAAATGAAACACTGTATTTCAAGTTTCAGCCTGATTCCATTTTTACAGGCAAAGGGCAATAGGTATGTTTATAGTGGAAATTCTGGTCAACTTTTAATAAAGCAGTTCTAGCAGGTGACATTATTTCAGATGGTGTTTGTGCATGCAAGTGTGCGTAGCAGCAACATGTAATTAAATAAATCCACAATAAATTGGTGGTAGAAAATAGTTTTAGAAAGAAGTGATATAATGCATTTGTAAGGAAAAACTCCTTTGCAGTATAAAAGGAATACCATTCCATTTTGTAATGCCTTCACTCTTTTTGCAGTACAATTAATTACTAAGTTCATTAATTAATGAACATATTAGAGAAAGACACCATTACTGACCGGGGGGACCTGATATATTACTGAGTCAATAAACTATTGAACATGGAATGGGACTTTTCAGTAGATTTTTTCCCTTGTAACCCACAAACATATATTATTCTGCATAATCAGCAGTTCTTTTGTGTCCTTATATTTCATATTACTAATTATTTTAATCAATGTTACATATGGCAATATTTTACATCCTAGCTAATGAGTAAAGGCAGTTGACTTTGGGAGTAAATCCCTGAAAAATCTGGATTTTTTTTTCCAGTAGGGCTTTTGAGAGTCAAAGGTAGTAAAAGAGCAGACTAGATGGGAGGGAGGAAAAACTCCTGCATAAGAAATGGAGCAAAGAAAGAAAGATTGAGTGAGTCAGTGAACCACAAATGGCTTTAAGTTGCTGTATCTGATGCAAATAAATAAATGTCTAAAATAGCCTGAACTCTTCTCATTGTCAGCAAACAAAGAGTTTAGCTTGGCCATGTTTAATGTTGTTTTCCTTACAAATCTGATGCTTTTAGTACAGTGAAGGTATTTCCAGTTACTTAATAGATATTGCAGATCTTTAAGTAGAAGAACACAGGAGAGGTTTGTAATGCAGCAACATTCATAAAGCTCCCATGCATCTGCTGTCATAGGTATCAAACTCCCACTGAACCCCCAAGTAATCATTGATTGTATTTTAATCTGTAGAGATATCTTTTCCTGGAAGCACTGGTAGTTGCAGTAGATTGTTAATCTGTGAATGATCAGACTAATTCCCTCTTGTCTCAGAAACCTCTAAGCAAATTACACCTAAATGCAAGCCATAAATTTATTAGTAGCAGTTGGAGAGTCCGGGTCATCTTTTGCACTATTTAAAAACACAGGTCTCACCCCATTTATGCTGACTTTCTGTGATTTTCCCCCCTTCCTGCCAAGTAAACTTGCTTAGCTTTTTAAAGTAGTGTTAAGAATTAGTTTATTTAGACGTTTTCATCATCCTGATTTTAAATCTCAATATTCAATCTGTGTTTTAGTAGATTTCCTTTTAAGAAAAAGTGGGAAAATGTCTTTAAATAAATATAAGGGGCCAAAAGGCAAAGGGTTGTTTATGTGTGGAGATCGGAGAGAAATTATAAATGCAGAGGAAAGTTCCTCTGTATCTCATGAGCTAGTGCTATCTGTACCTCTGACTTGATTGCTGCTTTGGGAAAACCAGTTCCCAGATCAGTGGCTTTCTTCTGATACTTAACTGCATTAGACTTTGTGGTAAATCCCAACAGGAAAACAGGAAAATGATGCTTGGACAGAGTAGGAAAAAAAGAGATCTTTGCTCTGCCTTTTTGTATATTTTTATGTGCGTGTTTCACTCTTGATTATAATCAGTGTGACATAGTGCTATGTGAAGCAACATTTTCCTTCGGGCACTTGCTGTGTGAACTCAGGAAATTTGTAGAACACCTTTGAAATCTCCCACCCGATTGAAATAAAATTAGTCCTTGATCTGTATTATTTTAAAGAATTTCAGGATTTATTCAACCTATGAAATAATGGAATGTATCATTATTATGGAATGGACCTTTTTATTCAAACTGCTCAGGCATATTGACATATACATTTTAAACTGGAAAAATAAATCCTATTTAAAAGAATGACCAATGCTTTGCATTTTAGGTTTTTTCCCCCCTTTTTTTTTATTTAAAAAAAACCCAGCCACATATGGGCAAGTATTTAAAAACCACATTTTTTTGTATGTGCTAAGATATTTATATACATTTGTTTCTTTTTCCAGGCCATCCGCTGTACACTGGTAAATTGCACATGTGAATGTTTCCAGCCAGGGAAGATTAACCTGAGAACGTGTGATCATTGTAAACATGGTTGGGTGGCACATGGTAAGAAATGTCTGTTCTTTTATCCTTTCTGTTTTATCTGTTTCTCTCTATCTCAATAGGGCCTTACCAAATTCACAGCAATGAAAAATGCATCACAGACTATGAAATCTTGTCTGTTCCCATGAAATAGTGTCTTTAGTGTGTTTTTACCCTACATTATACAGATTTCATGGAGAGAGGCGAGTCATGATCAAATGTGGGGTATTGACCCAAAAAGTAGTTGTGAGGCAGTCACAAGTTTATTTGGGGAGGACAAGATATTGCCACCCTTATTTCTGTGCTGCCTTCAGAGAGTGGTGGCTATTGGTCGGGCCCCCAGCTCTAAAGCAGAGCCCTGCCTGCAGCCACACAGAAATAAGGATGGCAATACTATATCACGTCATCCTTCCTTCTGTGCTGCTGCCCTCAGAGCCGAATAGCTAGGCAGTGGCAGCTGCTGGCTGAGGGCGCTGCTCTACAGGCAGCAGCACAGAAATAAGGGTGACAATACCAGACTACGCCAGGCGTCTGCTCGGCTGCTGACAGCGGCTCTTCTTTCAGAGCCGAGCTCCTGCCTACCTGCTGCCACTCTCTGGCCATCCCGCTCTGAAGGCAGCGCTGCTGTCATCAACAGCACAGAAGTAAGGGGTGTCAGTACCATCACAGTCCACCCCTACAATAATCTTGCAACTTCCTTTTTTTGGTCAGGATCCTCAACATTTGATTTAAATAGCTGAAATCATGAAATGTAGTTTTTAAAATTGTGACCATGCAATTGACCAAAAACGATGGTGAATTTGGTTGGGCCGCACTCATTCGACACAGTGATAATAGCCATATCTGTCTATGCACATTTGGGTATGTGCTTTTCTTAAAGCCCTCTCTACAGTTGAGCAGAGAGGGATGCTGACAACGACTTCTAGTGTCAGTGCAAGTAATGAGTTTAACTTTCTGCTGATAGCCAGTGCTTAATTTGTAATGAAGCAAGTGCCAGGGCTCAAGCAATTTTTTTACATACGTGTTTGGTGCAGCAAGTGCAGAGGTGCCAGGCTGTTAACTGCCAAGCCCGGAGGTGCTGGGGCTCAGCCCTGGCAAGCCCTGGTACAAGTTACGCATTGTGTATAGCTCAGAGAACATGTCCTGGTTTCCAAGCAGTAATGCTACACCCACAGCTGTTAGCAGAAGGGCAAGATGTTTCATACTATGGTTGCACTGTGAACTTTACATTGCACATATGCAGGAGCCAAAGAGTTTCTGAATCCAACGGGAACTCAGACATATCCCTGTCAAGCCGTGTGGAGCCAGGATGTAAGAATGAAACTGGTATATCCACGTATGCTGAATGAAAACATTGGTGGTAGTTGGCCCTCATAATATTGCTTAGCAGCTGTCTTTATCTTCGCTAAGTGAAATTGGGTAAAGGAGTATTGGAGCGGGCTCATGTGTTTGGCTCACATCTAAAGAAATTTTATAAATATACACTACTTACTTGGGATTGAATCCTATTTTTTTAGAAGTTTGTCACAAGCCAATCTTATGTACCTGGTCACATCTTATACAGTTACATAAGAATGGACATACTGGGTCAGACCCAAGTTCCAACTAACCCAGTATCCTGTCTTCTGACAGTAACCAATGCCAGGTGCCCCACAGGGAATGATCAGGTGATCCAACTCCTGGTGCCCATTCCCAGTTACTGACAAACAGAGGCTAGGGGACACCATTTCTGTCCATTGATGGAGCTAACTTCCATGAATTTATCTAGCTCTTTTTTTGAATCCTGTTAAAGTCCTGGCCTTCACAACATCCTCTGGCAAGGAGTTTCACAGGTTAACTGTGTGTTGTGTGAAGAAATACCTCCTTTTGTATGTTTTAATCCTGCTATCCAGTAAAGCCAATTACAAGACAAATAATAAAGAGATATTTTCTTCTGAAATGATTTCAAAAGTATCAGGAGAAAATAGAGAGACGGCTATAGTTGCAGAAAAAAATAATTTGTCTGTTTTTTCTTCTGACAGTTCAGACTATTGGCCCCGAAACAAACATACTCTCCATTCCTCACTTTTGCCAAGCATCCAGTGGGTTTTGTTGTATAAATCCTGTTTTATTTCAGTAAAACCTGAAGGAGATGATCAGTACCTTCCTCCTAAAATGCCCTTTTGTACATATTTATGTAGCCCCATATCAGTGCAGCTCCAGCAATTAATGCTCTTTTTTAAAAGCTTTAATCTCCAGATGAAATGTCAGTGTTACTTTTTTTTTTTTAAACAAGGAACTCTGAGACATCCAGACTGGTTCCTTCAAATACCCAGCCACAATAAACATCATACATAAAAATATACATTAGTAAAATAGATTCTATATCCTCAAAGCACTCTGAAGTTAATTTAAAATGTCTCTTTCCC